GAAATTATTGAATGTGTAGCTTCAGCAGCTATGATATCCCCAGGAAGACTTCCTGGTGAAAATCCTTCAGAACTGATAGTTGAAAAAGCTTTGGGAGGTCTGGACAACCCTGAGAAGCAAAAGGGAAGTGCTGCAAGGAACAAAATGAGTCAGCTTCCTTCCCAGGAAAGACATTTCAGTCTAGCAACCTTCAACCTGAAAACCCCCACAGAACAGAGTGTCCTTGAATGTAATGAAAGTGAAGGAAGTCTCAGTCTGAACTCAAATGATATTCCACGACAGAGAATGCTTACTGGGGAAAAGCTGTATGAGTGCTTTGACTGTGGAAAAGCCTTTTGCCAGAGCTCAAAGCTGATTAGACATCAGAGAATTCATACTGGAGAGAGACCATATGCATGTAAAGAATGTGGCAAAGCCTTCAGTTTGAGCTCAGACCTTGTTAGACATCAGAGAATTCATAGTGGTGAAAAACCCTATGAATGTTGTGAATGTGGAAGAGCTTTCAGGGGCAGCTCAGAGCTCATTAGGCATCGGAGAATTCACACTGGAGAGAAACCTTACGAATGCGGTGAATGTGGGAAAGCCTTCAGCCGCAGCTCAGCCCTTATTCAACATAAGAAAATTCACACTGGAGATAAAGGCTATGAATGTATTGAATGTGGAAAGGCTTTTGGTAGGAGCTCTATCCTTATTGAACATCAAAGAATTCACACTGGAGAGAAACCTTATGAATGTAATGAATGTGGAAAATCCTTCAATCAGAGCTCAGCTCTCACCCAGCACCAGAGAATCCACACTGGGGAGAAGCCTTATGAATGTAGTGAATGCAGGAAAACATTTAGGCATAGGTCAGGCCTCATGCAGCATCAGAGAACACACACCAGAGTTTAACTCTGTGGGCAAGAGTTGTACAATTGTGAAATGCAGGGAATTCACTTTGGGGGTGAGACTCTGCAGAAGATAGAAGTTTTCTGAGATCAGGGTTTCTATCCTTATAGCCCAGTTCAATACTGTAAGAGGAGATCCACGCAAAGATGTTTGATGATTGTTGAAGTATTGCATGGAAGAAAATTTTTACCCAGGTGCTCTCCCAGAAGAATGGTTGTCATTTCCTAGACATGCCTAACCCATTTCTGGATGAGGACTCTCATCGATATCCTGTTCACCCCACTGCCAAACCAGGTATAACTGCCCTGGGTACCTTCACAGTAAGTCCAGAATTGGGGTAGAGATCCTTAAAGAGCCCCTTATAAGATGGCAAGGATCCCTGCACAGCAAGAGCATTTGTGTATTTGGCAGGTGGTGGCACTTGCTGAGAGTTATTCAGCTGTCCAAAATGTTGAACTGTGAGGTTGTGAAATGTTGAATTGTGCCCTGGATCAGTATGATAGTATCTGAGGCAGTTTCATAGTATCTGAGGAATGGTGGCTCATTTTACCCCCTTGCCAGTTCTTTCCTCAGCCCTGAACTTCCTGCTGAGGTCAATTCAGGTCTACTTATTTATTGAGCACCTGCTATGTGCTAGCTGTTGGGGCAGATGGTAATTGACTTCCCAGAGCCAAGGGCTAATGGGATATATGTATTTACTAAACAGGTAATTACAGTAAAGTATGATAAGTACTTTGGTAGGATAAATCCAGGGTTCACGAAGTACAAGGCAAGGGTACCTAACCTGATCTATGAGTCACTGAAGACTTTCTGGATGTAATGCCACCTCAGCTGAGACTTAAAAGGCAAAAGTTAGCCAGGTCAAGGTCAGGGGAGAAGAGGAACATTACAGGCAGAGGTTATAACACTTGCAATGGCATGAAGAGAGGATCTGGAGACATCCCTTAATCAAGGCTCTTCTCTCCAGCAAGAATTAGTTGTCACAGACTCTGGCTCAGAATCTAGAACATGTGTTGGTTTCTCTCTTGCTACTTACAATCACTGACTTGGGTGGCCTATCTCAGACCGAGCATTACCTACAAGACCTTGAAGTACTCAGAATTAGTGTGGTGGAACACTCTGGTGTGTTATGGAAACATACACGTATGTACACCAAGGAAAGAATACATATTGGAGGCTAGGAAATGGGAAGCTTACAGGAACACAGTGATGGGAGGTCTGCCTTCTCAGGCTTCATTATTCCACACTCCCTGCCCCATCCTCTCATCACCAGGCTCGCAGAACTGAAACTACTTGAGGGCAGTACATATTTGTTGAATTATTTGTTTGTTGGTACCCTCAGATTCATCAGAACTATACTTTGCTACTTTTTAATTGGAAATTTTAACTAACCCACAATTGCTGAGGGCAATTAATACCTAAGAACATGTCATTTCTAAAGAAGACTTGGTGATCACAGCTGTTGTGAGTACTAGGGGAAGTGAAATTGGGAGGACTGTCTTTGCATCCAAAGGTTGGGCAGTTATCATTGAGCAAGGTCAATCAGAAGTCTAAAGGAATCTTTCAAATGGATAGTGAGTTGCCTTTTCTTATAGGTGACAATCAGATTAAATGTCTTAAATATCATTTAATATTTTTTCCTGATTGTGAATTAATTGTAAATATTGATAATACAGAAAATGAGAAAGTATATATCACCCACAATCCCATTACCTATGGAAACATTGTTAACATTTTGGAGTACTTTTTATTAGTGTTTTTTTTTTCCCGACCCTAACATTTTTGGTAAAAATCTTGTTTAGTAAATAACTTTTGGTAACTAATTTTGAGTATATATTCAACTGTTTAGTATTCAAATGTAATGCAAGATGTATTATAATAAAATTTGAGTTTTAATGTTTTGCTTTGAAATTAACCATTTGGAATAGGGAGTGCAATAACATGAATGGAGATATGCTAGGATGGGCAAGGGGTTGTGGGAAGAAGTCAGGAAATTGGTGTTCTTAGTTTCTATTCCCTGGGCCAAAAAGTGTCAGGAAACTATGGTGTCTAGGACTGCAGTTCACCAGGCAAAATCACAGAATCTGAGGTTGAGTTGTTGAAAGACCATGAGAATGAGAACAAGAAAGAGCCTCTTTAAATATGTACACATGCTATGTCCACCAGAATTAGGACTCTTTCTCCCTTTTGGTGGTGGTAGTGGTAGTTCGGGGGTTGTATGCACCAAATTGTAATTCTCAGCACCAACTGCTGGGAAGCAACAAGCGAGGGCCTGGGAGACTACCATGAATTCTGCAGCATAAGCAAGTCACCTCACAACTCTAGACCCTCCGCAGATCCTCATTAGAAATGTGAGCCTGGAGAGACTGCGGTCAGATTTCCTTTAAGTTTCCAATCCTCTTAGCTAGACAGGGTTAGTTGCAGGCTGTGGAAAAGAAGAAGGGGAGAGGTAGCAAACACATTAAGCACTTGGTCTAAATTGGACATTATCTTTTAAAATCTGTACAAGATTTGGCTGGCTGGTTAGCTCAGTTGGTTAGAGTGTGGTGCTAATAACACCCAGGTCCAGGGTTTGAGCTCTGTACTGGCCAGCCACACACATACACACAAAAATCCATATAAGATCCATTTAATGTAGACAGTGTTACCCCTTGGACTGACACTACATCAAGAGAAACAACACAGCCCTGAGTAGAAGGGAAAATCATGAATATCATTTCTTCCAGGCAAGGCTGGTGAAGGAAAAAAAAATTTCCTTTGACATCAACCTTATATTGGTATCCCCTCCATTTCATAAAAATGGAATGTCAAGACTTTGACTGTAAGAGATCATATATTTCACCTCCTTTAAAGTGAGGGTTTAGAGTTGTGTAGTGACTTGCTTTATGACTGCAGAACTCATAGAAAAGCTCTAATGATTAGTCTCCAGGGCTATTGCTTTTCTCAACCATAAATCTCTTTCAGGCAAGTAACTTGTATTTGTACAGGGATTTATAATGTGTAGAAGACTTTCAAAAATTTTTTCTAAATTTATTTTTTATTGAAACTTCTACATATTTGTGGGGTAGAATTGACTATCAATATGTGATGGTCAAATAAGGATAATTAGCTTATTCATCATTAACATATGTAATCATTCTTTTTTTGTGTCCAATAACCAGTTTATTGCTGACCCCCCCTTCCCCTTTCCCACCTCTAGTAAGCCTAGCTCTGTTTTCATCTTCTGAAAGTTCAGTGTATTATTGTGATTGTTGTTTCTTTTTTTCTTTTTCTTTCTTATTTATTTAATTTTTAGCTTTCACTTACGAGTGAGGACATGGGGAATTTCTCTGTGCCTGGCTTATTTCACTTAACATAATTTTCTCTAAGTTCATCCATGTTGCTGCAAATGGCAGAATTTCATTCTTTTTTATGGCTGAATAGTATTTCATTGTGTATATATACCACATTTTCCTTATCTAGTTGTCCATTGATGGACATTTAGGTTGGTTCCATAGCTTGGCTATTGTAAATGGAGCTGTGATAAACGGGAGTGCAGGTATCCCTTCAACATGATGATTTCCATTTCTTTGGGTATATATCCAGCACTGGGATTGCTGGATCATATGGTAGTTCTATTTGTAGTTGTTTGACAAACCTCCATACTGTTTTCCATAATGGCTGTACTAATTTACAGTCCTACTAACAGTGTAGAAGGATTACCCTTTCTCTGCATCCTCATCAGCATTTGTTATTCTCTGTCTTTTTGATAATAGCCAGTCTAACTGGGGTAAGATGATATCTCAAAGTGATTTTGGTTGGTATTTCCCTGATGATTTGTGATACTGAGGATTCTTTCATGTACTTGCTGGCCATTTGTATATCTTTTTTTTTTTTTTTTGAGAAATGTGTATTTAACACTTTTGCCGATTTTTAAATTGGATTATTTTTAAAAATTAATTTTAGTTGCTTGTATATTCTGGATATTCATCCCTTGTTGGATGCATAGTTTTCAAAATTCTGAAGTTGTCTTTTCACTCTGTTGATTGTTTCCTTTTCTGTGCAGTGTGGAATATAATAAAAAGCATATGTACTTCACAGGGCCTGGTTTTCCAAAGCCTTGCAGTTTCAAATACTGACCTTGCAGAGGACTGGAAATTTCCCTCAGGGTATAAGTCCCTGTTGTAAGATAAGAATTGTGGCACAGCAGGTTGCTGGCTCAAAGACAGACTAGTTACTGATGGTTGTGTAAAGATACTGAGAAAGTGCTGTTAAGAAGGAATGTTTGCTAAGATCAAACTGTTGTTG